AGTGCAGTTTTATTAGAAAATTACGTATTCATTTATCCACATCGTTTTCATTATGTGGTTTGAAAACATTTGCATTTTTGAATTGGATCTTACTGGAGGTCACAGAGTTCATACATTTTTTGCATATCTAACTTCTATTCGAACTAGCAAATCCCTCTGAGCTGTTGTATACGAAGTGATTGAAAGAAAAAATATACAGTGTAGGTATGAGGAATGTATTAGATTATTTCAAAAGTTTTGTCCGTTTTTATGAGTCTACTTCAAACTGTAATATGTCAGTGAATACTCGTTCATTTCAATCAAAATTAGCATCATTTGAATCATTGCACTTTTGCCATCGTAACACAAGTAGATTAATTCCATCAGCATGGAAATTAGGTGATCAGGATTCAATGAAGTCGACGGAGGCCGTTTTCGCCTGGTCCTGATTGGCGAAGGTTGTACACGTGGTAGTCGGTTGGCTAGAGGTCTGGGAAGTATGGCGGGTGATGCAGAACTTAGATGCTCAATTCGTTTGATTTTGGTACGATAATTTGTGAAACGTGTGAACTGGCGTTGTCATGGAACAGAATTTCCTCACAATAGGACCGTTGAATATTCGAAATTCACCTACCCGGTGACTGAATACGTCAAATGTAGGACGAAATTTGAATCGGAAACTATGAAACTGATACTGAACAATTTGTCGACTCAAAATAACCTAGCATCCTTTATGACAAAATGGAATCCCATCTCGATGTAACTCCAGATACTTGTGCAGCCATATTATATCCTTCAGTGGAGTCTTGTCTCCCAGAAGACTTTATACGAGTATAGCAACGAAGCAGTCTTAACGACAGTGACTCTACACTCAAAGATCGCCTAGACCAGTTGATGAATTTTCTAAGGAAAGAAGGCGAGAATGAGGAAAGAATTACCTTAGCTACGTCTGGATTCGGCATTCAAAGTAAATTCAAGAAGAAAAATGATTCCCAAAAACCTCATTCTTCTCTACCAACTGCAACTGGATTGATAAATAACAAACTACACAAAAAATGTAATTTCTGTAGTGGAAATCATACAAGCGAACTCTGCACCGAAGCAAAAAAGTGGACATTATTTCATCGCAAGAAGAAACTTCTTGGAAAAATCTGCTTGAATTATGGACATATTTCCTAAAAATGTCGTGTGTCCATAACTTACACTCTTTGCTGTCATCATGTGCCCTAAGTCCGAAGATTCAGACTCAAAAGCAAGTGTTATGAGTACGAGTGTAGAAAAGAGTCTATCAAACAGTTCATATTCCGAAGTGTTTCTACGGACATTAGTCATCAATTTGAATGGATTCGACAAATCCAGAACAGCTCGAATAACTTTTGATACCGGTTCTCAAAAATCATACATCACGAAATCTGAGGCTGAAGAGATGGGAAACAACTGCTTGAGGCAAGAGAAAATTATTCACGCTCTTTTTGGTGGTTCAAGAACGAATGTTGTCAAACATAATTGTTATCGCATGAAATTGAGTGAATTGAAGAATAAATATGCTTGCAATTTTAAAGCCCTTGATCAAACAATCATATGCAGTAATGTGAACTATATTCGTAAAGGTCCTTGGATGAATAAATTGCAGTCTGTTGGCATCGAAATCACTGATGTCAGAGAAGGGCCAATCGATATTTTAATTGGTGCTGATATAGCTGGAAAGTTATTCACTGGTAACCGATATGAATTGGAATGCGGCCTAGTAGCAATTGAAACTCTATTAGGTTGGACCCTGATGGGAAAACTCAAAGAAAACCATGAAGAAACTCCGAAATCATCGATAGTGATGTTCATGTTTTCCAAATACGAATCGATTACTGACTTATGGTCATTGGATGTGCTTGAGATTTCTGATCCGTCAGAAAAGAGGACACAGAAAGAAATCGAAGAATTTGTCATGTCTCGATTCTTGAAAAACATTGTTAGACACGAAGATGGCAGATACGAAGTTTGTCTGTCTTGGCTCAAAGATCACTCTCCTTCACCGAGTAATTATGAAACAGCCAGAAGACGATTAGAATCCTTGCTGAAGAAACTTGATTCAGTTACGTTCACGTGATCAATATGCCCAGAGTTTCATAGAATGGGAAACCGAGGGTATCATTGAAGAGGTACCCGAGTCGGACCCACTCGAAGAAGGGCATTATCTACCACATCGTCAAGTGTTAAAAGAAATTAGCGCGACTACGAAAATCCGACCTGTTTTCGATGCCTCTTCTCGACAGAAAAATCAGCCATCCTCAAACCAGTGCCTAGAAAAGGGTATTAATCTCATTGAATTATTACCGTCTCTGTTGATGAGATTTCGTTTTTCACGATTTTCATTTTTCACGAAAGCTTTCTTGCAGATGAGCTTGAATCCCGAAGGAAGAGACTTTTTGCGTTTCCTTTGACTCCTGCTATGTTCCACAAGGATATTTCAGAGTGCGAAGTTCCGGATTTGGACGCGGTGGAGAGTTCAGATCTGAGAAAATATCTGAGATACAGGCTGAAGCTGAAAGATGATCTTAGTAGGAGGTTTAGAAATGAATATTTCGGTCAGCTGAAATTGTCATCGGAAAAACGAAAACAGAGAGAAATCAAAATTGGTGAAGTCGTTCTGATGGGAACCGACAATACCAAAAGGATGAAATGGCCTTTGGTGTATGTTCAAGAGCTGATACCTTGGAGGGATAACGTCTGGTCAAACTGAAGACAACGAAGGGAATAGTACTCAGGCCTCTACAATGAGTATATCTTTTTGAGATCAATTGTGCTGATGATTTGGACTTAACTCAGATATCAGGCCGAGCAGTTTCTACAAGAGAGACCGAAAGTAAAGAAACTGAAGAAACCAAAGAAAATGACAACGGGTGTTTCAAAAATCCTGAACCACTTTCGATAACTACTAGATATGGTAGAAAAGTTGAACTTGTTCAAAGATTTTTTTCGTAGCAATATGAGTTGTTAGTGAACAAGGTTCCACAACTCAAGGTGGGAGTATGTCACAGATAGTTCATTTTCTGAATTTGTTATACATTTTTTTCATACACATTGTATTCTCTCCAAGAGTTGTAAAATAACTGCCATTGATATATGATTGATGAGTCAATTGTATTGAACGTTTTTTTAATATATTTGAGTTTGTTGAGTACTTTCATAGTTTCTGATCCATATTTCGTCCTACATTCGACGTATTCAGTTACCGGGTAGGTGAATTTCGAATATGAAGCCGATTAGTTTGTATGGTGAGTGGTCTTTCAGATCAGATGGTAAGAGTACGGCTCTGCCGAACTCTAAAAACCTCATTTGGACCCCAGCGGGGCCCTGCTGCAGGCACATACCAAATAAACCCAGCTTCTTAACGAAGCTGGTTAGTGTGTATGGTCAGATAGTGAGAGTACGGCTCTGCCGAACTCTAAAAACCTGATTCGATCTCCAGCAGGGCAGGCACAAAGTATTTGCTCTGCTGTTTCATCATTTTCCAAACAGAGGCGACACACACTATCTTCGGACAGTCCGAGTCTCATATAAGGATTCAAATGACAGTGACCTGTAAAAAGGCCTGTTAGACATCGTAGTTCATCCCTACTGCAGTCCGACAACTGTTTGGTATCAAGTTTCGAAAAGTGAATGAACGCTTTGGAGTCCGCCAATCCTGGAAGATTTTGCCAGAAGTCTATAAATCTTCTTGCCATCCAGGTGTTCAATCTTTGTTTGGCAAAGCTTAAAGCGATGCCAATGACAAATTCTGGTCCGATGAAGCTGCTTGCAGCACCCTTCTTAGCAAGGGAGTCTGCCTTTCAGACCAGTATGGCCAAAAATCCAGACCAGAGATAATCTGTTAAGTCTTCCTATCGGGGAGAGTCGTTTTTGGCAATTTAGTCGTTTCTCGATAGGAGCCAAGAGCTTTCAACGCCACTTGACTGTCCGAGAATATTTTTATTGACTTGAGTGGGGTTGGATTCTTGCAATCTCTCCGCACACAATTCAAAAGCGTAAATTTCCGCTTGAAATACAGTAGCAAAAGTTTCTAGGCAGGTTGATATTTCTGTCTTGTCCTGTCCACCTTCACCAGAACTGGAAGGTGTTTTCGATCCATTCGTGAACCAACAACTGTCTTCTCTCGGAGAATTCAGCCCCCTCTACTCGATAACAGTACTTCATAAGGCAGTTCGTAGTTGACACTTGAAGGCATAAATTCTGGGATCATTTCCAGAATGCTGGACTTCCAGTGTGAACCAACAGTCTGTTACACTCTGCATTGAATTGATTTGTGTAATGGGCAATATACACAAGTCTATATGCAGTCCATCTATCCTCTCTCCCCAGAAAAATGTCGAGATGAGGTAGATCTCAGATCTCCATGGCCGCTGACGGTGTGGTACTGACGGCACCACTGATGGCCAGACAAGCTTGTCTCTGTATATCAGAGAGCTTCGCCTGGGCCGTCACCAGTCAATTGCACCATAAGTGATCATTGGTCTGACAAACAGGTGTTCAATGTTTGTTTGGCAAAGCCTAGAGCGATCCCAATGACAGGTTCTGGTCCGATGAAGCTACTTGCAGCACCCACCGAATGGGATCTGACGTTCAGTTCTTTCTTCTTCCCACGTACTGTTTGTCATAGTTCAGTCTCCTCCAGGGTTAAATCATCGTCCTGGATCACTTTGGGTTGACCACTTCAGGGCTCATCTTTGAAGCTAAAATCTCCGGAACGAAATTTCGCAAATCAACTTCGAACAAAGCGTTCAATATTCGCTAAATGCCTGGTTGATTTTTCATGCTGTTTTGGTAGCGCTTTGAATCAAATCGAATTCGTAGAGGAAAATTGAGCTAAGAAGAGACAAAAATTGAAATTTGGAAAAAAATTAACAGCGTCAATGTATAGAGTACAAAATTCTCTATCGATCAGTATACAGTGTGTAACAACGAAAACTTAACAGAGCCGTTTTTGAATCTAATAAATGAGATTTCAAAAATAAACCCGGACACGTCTATTTCTAATTAAAGGAAGCACCTTTCAGACTAATCAGATTTTTTTTAGTACGCATCCCCTCGGAGGGGTGCGTCCGACGACCCATATTTAGATAGGAAAAGTAGGTCGAGTGGCACCCTGTTTTGAAGGTCTTTCGAATACCTTCACAACTCTGTTGAAAGAAAATTTTTGTAACGATTAGTTTTCGAGATAATTTGAAGTTAAAACTGCCATGTTAATAATACATTAGACAGACCACTTGGTAATTTGTATGCCTAAATAAAAAAAAATTTCGAGCAGTTTTTTTTATCAGTTCTTCGTTGAATAGAATCCCTTTTTTAAAATCAATACTCACTCCTCTTCTTCCAGTTTTCATTAGTACATCGTTCGATAATCGTGTATTGTTATTTGTTAAAAAATGCATTACATTACTGTTCAAAATCTGTTCAAAATCTGTTTTTCCGTTAACCAGCTGTCGCACCCCTACGAACGAACAACCCTCAGAAGTCGAAACTTGTGTGAGCTAAGGATTAACGAGGTCTTACCTTTTAACGTGTGATTTCTAACACGTTACTGCTGGAAGGGTTTCAGTTATTGCTTTATTTTTTGGCAACGACCAAAATGCTAAATTTTATTCAACGAGCAAAACCCTGGTAAACACCTGAGCAGAAAACACGTTCTGGATTTGGTCACAAAATTCAGGGAGACAAGTTCGGTTTTAAATAAGAAACGAAATGTTCAGAGAAGAGTAGTGAATGACGATAATGCGATTGGAGTGATTGGTCAAGTCATCGCCAATCCCAGGTTAAGTACCAGAGGTTTATCAGCAATGGCCGGAATAAGCCATATGAGNTATAATTGTTATTTTCAGCTATTCATTTTCAATTCTCCTTCTGTTGAAATGAAATAAATTTTGATAGTCTTTGAATATCAATTTTTATCTTTTTGGGAAAGAAAGTTTTTGGCTTTCTACTACTCCATCTTGATACACAAAAAGGATGAGGGAATCTTTCAAAGAAAGGAAGAAAGTTATCAATTTGAAAATGAGTAACTTTATACATGAATGTGTAGATCATGCAATGATCATGTCTGAAAGTTACTTCTTTGCATGATCTATTGAAATTATTCACTCCTAAAAATATAACCCATTCAATTCATTTTTTATCATTTTGAAAACACTTTGTATCAGTCATTGGCGTTTTCGAACTGCTGCAGATGCCGTTGCTTCATCTTGAACTTTTCTCCCTTGAATGTTTCATAATGTTAACTGTACCAGGAAATTACAAAATTTCTGCAATGATATCAAAAATAACTGCATTCACAGCTAATGCAGGATCTTGTTGGAAAATTCCAAGAATGGCTGATGATTAACCATACTATTACTTTGTTGTTAGATTTCATACACATATGGTTAATTATTATTATTATTATTATTATCTGAGATTCTAGGCCATTGTTGAACCTGAAGCACCAAACGTTTCGTTTGCTAGTGCGGCAGATATCATCAGTGATCTATGTGTTGACTGCGAGGAAGTATCAATGTATAGAGTACAATNCTTTGATTTCACATCAGAAATAAAGCAAATATGAACGGTAAAAGCAATCAGCATAAAACCGAAATTAACGGAAAAATGATCGCTATCATCACCATATATAGGTCACCGTTAGCTTGCCCGTTTTTGTTCAACGACTCATTAAACTCCTTTTTACACAACAGAAATCCACCCCTAAAAAATTATTTCAAAATGATTGTAGATTTCAATATAGATATCTTGGATAACACAGACTCTGCTGCTGAATATTTGAATATTATGAGTGAGCACGGATGCACAGCAGCAATAAACGAGTTCACCAGAATACAGAATAACTCTAAAACATGTATCGATCACATATTTCTAAAAACAATCCATCACATCATCATTCATTCATGCATTTCCGACCATTTTTCCATTGCACTCCAACTAGAATATGTAAAGATGGCTGAACTTGAGAATAAAAACAATTCAGCAATAAATTACAAATATTATTTAAATAAGAAAGAAAAGCATACAGAGCTACAATATGAAACTTGGCAAATGGTTTGTTTATACAGATATGAATATCGAAAGGACAACAAATAAATTCATAAAAAGATTCTCTGAAATAACCGAAAAATGCACACAAAAAATTGATCAAGTCGATAGAAACCAAAAACAAACTCCATAAGGCAATGCAAAATAAACCTAATGATGAAAACTCTAAAGTTCAGTATAAAAAATATCGGAATAAACTCAACAAAATGATAGATAGGGCAAAAATAACGTTTCGTAAGAATGAAATAGATAAGCACATGAATGATTCAAAAAAAATATGGAACTCATTGAAATCAATCGAAACAAAAATAAAGTAACCGAGTTTAAACATATAAAAGCTCCAGATGGCAACATTATATCAAATGATCAAATGAAAGCGGAACAGTTTGCTCATTATTTCACGAAAATAGGGTACAATTAATTTAGCTGATGCGAAAAATAATGAAAAGCATATTAAATTCGCCGAAAAAAAGAGTATGCAACTCAATTTTTCTTAAAGAGTGTAACGAAAAATAAGTCAGAGAAGTGATTTTAAAACCAAAAACAGAGAAAGCTACCGGATTGGATAATATTAAATCTGAAACTCTAATGAAATTCTTTGATTAAATAACAAGACCAATAACATTTATCATAAATACGTCGATCGAACAAGGAATTTTTCCAGATGCCTTTAAACACACTGTAATAAAACTATTCATCAACCAATACATCGATCCAGAATGGTCAATTGCCCGAAATATTAAAAATAAATACCATTATACCCATCATCAATTATTAGAGTTTATTGACAAAAATCAAATCATGTTTAGCAATCAATCTGGTTTTCGAAAAAAATATTCTTGCGAAACAGCACTACAGTTATCATTAACTAGATTCACAAATGGAACAGATAAAGGTAAATATGTTGTAGCTGTCTTTTTAGATTTCAAACGATTTCTATCAATCGTTTCAACGATTTTGAAACGATTGATAGAAGTATTTTGCCTCAGAAGCCGAGAAGATATGGGATTGAGGGGATGGTTTATGAATGGATAAGTAATTATTTATCAAATAGGAAACAGAGAGTACGTGTGAACGATTATTTCTCATCATATATAACAAATCACACAGAAGTACCACAAGGTAGTGTGCTTGGTCCCCTATTATTCATTCTTTATCTGAACGATATTTAATTATTTACAGACTGTGAGTTCATCTTTTTGTTATGAACACCCGCGATGCTCTGCTTTGGCTTATAATGCTGTTACTGTTTTTTGTGATTATGTTTTTCGTTATATTTATAATTTGCTAAATCCTCTTCTTCCTCACATGTCTCATAGCTCCTTTCCAGATCTACGAATCACAAATAATATTGATCTAAAATAATTATTTGTTTTATATGGATGTCATTCTCAGATATAGAGTTTGGGAACGTGCAAAGGAAAGAATATTTGTCAAAAATATTTCTTGAAATGTATAACAAATCTCATTTTTCCATTATTCATGTCCTGAAGATCAACGCAAATGCTATGGAAACGTTATTTTTCATATTGTGAAAATGACTACGTATTTTATGTTTAATAACTAGGAAATTATAAAATCATAAAAGGGAGTTGTTGTTTTCTGCTGTTGAAATCAAATTCCAAGTCTTTGTAACGGTACATTAATGTTTTACAGTGTACCCAGGAATGCCTGAGAGATCAGGACAAATTCCAGACAACTACAAATTCGATGCAGCTTTTTTTGGTTTGAGTTCAGAAGAGTCACGATCTATTGATGTCCGGTCCAAAAGTCTACTCGAAACAACTTTTGAAGCTATTATTGACGCTGGATATAACCCAAATGAATTGAAAGGCAGTCTTACAGGTTCGTATTGAATTAGTTCCAATTTATAAATGTTCCCTTGATATACATATGAGAAATAGAAACATGAAAACTAACGGATCTTTCATTAGAATTAAATGTGTGAGAAATCATCGAAATTCTTTATTCGTTTGAAATACCTATTCACGGCATTATGTGGCGGAACTTGAGAATAAAAACAATTCAGCAATAAATTACAAATATTATTTAAATGAGAAAGAAAAGCATACAGAGCTACAATATGAAACTTGGCAAATGGTTTGTTTATACAGATATGAATATCGAAAAAAATTGATCAAGTCGATAGAAACCAAAAACAAACTCCATAAGGCAATGCAAAATACACCTAATGATGAAAACTCTAAAATTCAGTATGAAAAATATCGGAATAAACTCAACAAAATGATAGATAGGGCAAAAATAACGTTTCGTGAGAATGAAATAGATAAGCACAAGAATGATTCAAAAAAAATATGGAACTCATTGAAATCAATCGAATCAAAAATAAAGTAACCGAGATCAAACATATAAAAGCTCCAGATGGCAACATTATATCAAATGATCAAATGAAAGCGGAACAGTTTGCTCATTATTTCACGAAAATAGGGTACAATTTTGTAATATTATTTTCTTTCGGTCGACCGATGCTTCGTTAACTACGTCAGCTTCTCCTTGAACTGAAGCATCTCTAGAACGCCATTTTCTTCCACTTCAGTGTTGGTCCTTTGCCCTGCTATCCCAAAGACACAGGAAACAAGGATATTTGGTATAGCCACCTTGTTGTCCCAGGAGAAAGTTCACCATCTTAAAATCAACACAGATATTCTTCTTTCAGTTTTGTGAAATGCCCAATTGGTATACTTCCATATTTGTTGCCATTATATCGAAGGAAACACTTTAAACTGCGTTTGGAACTGTCGATAAAAAGACGCCAGTGATCTGGTGTATATTTCGATACGACCAGTCCTATAATATTGTTGCAAAAAACCATATCATCTTGCTGAGAAAAGAAGGCAAAAGATCTTTTTCTCTATTACGCTAGTATGTTATTTCGGTGTCTGGGTCTAGAAATTTCTTTTCCTTCAGTTTGGAGGCAAGCAACTCGGAAGAATCCTTTGGAAGATTCAAATCTCTGATAAGACCGCTTAGCTCTTCCTGAGTAAAGCGCTCAGGACGTGTTGAATCCCCTTCAAAATCACTGTCGTCTTCCTCAAATCTATTAGTCTGTAGTTCGTCAGTTAACGTTTCGACATTATCCCCTGGTAACGTAGGTAGGCTGCTAAATATTGAAATGGGTATCTGTTCAAGCTGATGTGGAATTGGTCTTATTGTTGAATCCAGGTTAGGATATGTCCACGTATGTCGATGGTTACGATTGATGCCCTTTATATTCACAAGACAGAAATAGCAATCGTCAAAATGTTTTTTGGTTCTCTCCATACCATTGAAACACCAAACCTTGAACGTTTTCGTTTTTCTTTCGTCCACTGTCGCAAGTTTTCAAGACATGTTTTGCACACTACATGTGGAGCCCAGGATTTATCCTGATCTCCTAAATGAACACCAAAATAGGCTTGCTATGCCCTTTTTATAAAATCACAAACTGGTTCTCTACTTCCTTCACAATGTACTCGCCACATATGTAGCAAAAAACATTCGGGTTATTCACACAACAATGCCTGCTTGCTGCTTTCCCTAAAAGAAAACTTAAGCTTGAAAAAAAATAAACTCCCGTGTCTTCACCTTTTCTCAAACATGAAGAGAAGAATCGAGGAAACTTGAAGATCTCAATAGTCTTAGGAAAACTTATCATGATGACAACATAAAAGCCCTGTATAAATCTAGGAAAAAGATGCATTTTAGGAATTTTGAAGAGGAAAGGAAAACTTATTACGAAAATAGGACTGAGAATTCACAAAACAAGAACAAGACCTTGTGGCAAATTATTAACACAAAACTCAATAGAAATCACACCAAAAAGGAAATAATATTGAATCATGATAATCAAATTGTAGAAAATGAGAAAGACATCTCTGACTTATTTTCCACTCACTGTTCTACCTCACTCCAACATAAACTCATTTCTCATTTCAAAACTCTGTCCAATGAATGCACCAGCACCTAGAAAATAAATAATAACTCTATGTTTTTTCTACCCGTACCTCCAGAGGAAATAAAAACTGTTATACTCAGTATGCCAAATGAACATTCAACAGGTGTTGATGAAATACTGGTTGAATTACTTATGGAATGTATAGATGACTTTTCACAATGTTTTGCACTGATAATCAATAAATCTGAATAAATCGGTCCATTTTCCAGTATATTGTAATTAGCCTTGATTATCCCTGTTTTCAAAAAAGGGAATACTCAAGACATGAACAATTATCGACCTATTTCTTTACTGAGTGTACTCTCTAAAGTGATCGAAAAAATAATGGCCAACAGACTAACACTTTAAACATCACTTTTGTGGAAGAAAAGTTGGAAAAACTTGGAATACGAGGAAATATTCAAAACTGATTGATTTCATATCTATCTGACAGGAAACTTATAGTGAAAGTTAATAATGTGGGTTCCTCAGAAAAATACATCTTTCTAGAAACACCGCAAGGTAGTGTTCTTGGTCCCATGATCTTTCTTCTTTATGTAAACGATTTAACAAATTTTATATCTCAAGAAAAGTTTTCTTATATGCTGATGACACGTCCATTATATGTAGTGGGAAAACACTTGATGATGCAATTAATGCTTCAAATGCTGTCATACACGAATTTGAGTCATGGTGTTTCAGAAACAGGCTAATTATTAATTTTGATAAAACCGTATCTATGTTATTTGAATCTATAACAAATTCAATCGATTCAAAAAATATCAAAATTCACATAAATAATCATGAGCTGAAAATAAGCAATGAAACAAAATTTCTGGGAGTCACCCTAGATGAACTCATTGCTTGGACTCCACATATAAATAAGTTATGTTCTCAATTGAGTTCATCATGCTTCGCCATTAATACATTAAAATATGATTTAGACAAGGAGTATCTGATAAATGTGTACTACGCATTATTTTATTCTAAGATTGCCTACAACATAATTGTCTGGGGCCAAAGTGTTGATGTGCATAGAGTGTTTGTGATACAAAAACGAATTTTAAGAACAATTTTCAGACTGAAGCCAACAGAAACTTGTAGGGACTCATTTATTAAAAACAATATATTACCAGTAGTGGGAATATATCTATATAAATTATTGAGTTATATCCATATCAACAAAAGTAATTTGAAAACAAATGCAGAATTTCACAATTATTCCACTCGAAATAATTCAAACCTCCGCATTGCTAAATGTAATTTGTCTCTCTATAAAAAAACGCCTTTATATGCAGATGGTGCAAAAACTGTTTCTACATTATTGATGAATTTTTAAACTACCAGCAATCTGTTTCCAATATTTAATTCCATTCAAAGGTAGTCGCACTATTTTTATATCTTGAGTTATTACCCTTATTATTATATGTGTTTGATTGTATTGTACTATTTTTTGACATGTTCTATCCAATCTTTTTCGGCTTTCAGAAAAATTCGTATTCTATTCTACTCCAAGTCTACATACAGTGTGAGCAATTGATATGTCAATATATGCGAAGTATGAAACGAGGTGGTTTGTGTGCATGAATGAAATGAAAAATTCAAGTCTCTCACAAGAAATTTAGGACTGTAATCGATTGATTACTCTGGTCTTTGCAATATTGTCAAAAAAGTATTCAGTTTTTTATCGAGTACTATTATGTATCACCATAACCATATGTAATTTCATTTTTAAGGTGTCTATGTCGGAATATCCACCTTCACCTACTCTAAAGAATTGAGGAAAGACTCAATTCCAGGAGTCACATGTTTGGACTTTTGTTTAGCCAGAGCAGCGAACGGAATTTCCCGTTATTTCGACCTCAAAGGACCCAGTTACTCAATCGATACTGCCTGCTCCAGTTCATCTCACGCCTTCACAAACGCAGTGAGAGATTTGGCTGATGGATCCGTAGATTCTGCACTGGTTTGTGGTTCCACAATGTTTTCCCATCCACATGAAACGAAGGAATTTGTGGCTCTCAATATGCTGAATCCCGATTGCGCTTGCAAAGCTTTCAATAAGATAAGATCCGGATATGTTAGAGCTGAGAGTTCAGTCACTTTTTTTCTGCAGAAGGAATCTGCCAGTAGGAGGGTCTATGCTAAAGTGCTTGGAGCCAAAATGAATACTGATGGTTTCAAAATTGATGGACTCACCTTTCCTTCCGCTGATGAGCAATATATCCTGTTAAAATCGTTGTACGACGAGGTTGGAGTAGATTTCAACAAGCTAGACTATATAGAGGCTCATGGAACAGGTGAGAAATTAGAATGTTGCAAGATATCGTTCGCTACAGTGGTAAGTCTTAGGAAGTCAGAATTAGGTGAAAAGGTGGTTTTTAGGTCTAAGATGCGCGCTAAGAGAGGATTTTCAAATATTCCAGCTAGAACGCCCCCCGTGGGGGTGAAAGTATCAATATGGATTTTCATGAAGTATAGGCCAGTTCTATTCAATTATAAAAGGGTTCCGTTTACATATGGAAATTACGTTTTCATCTTGATCGCCAGCCGGGGGGGGGAAAAAGGCGCGTCGATAAAACAAAATTATCTTGTTGTCAACTGTCAACTGTCAAAAAACTTAAAATTTCTGCATACCTATTGATGCGTAAATGTTTGATTTTGTTCACCGTGAAAATAATTGACAAAATGAACATGAAATATTACTTTCTGAAGGATTTATTTCTAACAGAGTCAATTATTAATTGATTATTTATCATAAAAAAATTCCATTCATTGAAATGATAATTGACAGTAAAGTTTGAACAATTACTTCGAACATAAATTCCCGGAAATGTTCCATGTTGCTGCTGATCAGAAACGTTACATATTCCTTGAGTTGAATCCATAATTTCATCAGATGAAAAAGATGGACAACTCAATATTCTGTCGAAAACCTCAATTTTATTACCCAAATCATCTTCTATAGATGCTTTGCTACGGAGACAGAATTCCAGCCACTGTGACGTTATATAGATGTAATGTTGCCCCCTGCATTTGCCAGAAAAGTTACAGAGCTTCTCCTGAAACAGTGACTTGTGTAGCTTTTATACATGTATTTTCCAAGTCATTTTGCAATCAAGTCTGAGAAGTCTGTTAGACATCGTGGTTCATCCCTACTGTAGTTCAGCTATTTGGTTTCAAGCTCCGAGGGTGAATGAACGCTTTGAAGTGAGCCTATTCTGGAAGAGCCTAGGAGAGCCAACACCAAAGAATGCACGCCAAGTTCGATCAAATGCTAATTTTTCTCACTGCTTCCTTCGATTATCGTGGCGTTGTGCATCAGGAGTTTCTGATACACGGTCGGTCGGTAGCCAACCATGTTAAACAGGACATCACTGACTATAGAAACGAGAGGTGGAGCGAGTGTTTGGAATCGCTCGAACCTGGGGATGACGAGCTCTGGCGAGTCATCCGCAGGCTCGAGAAGAGAAAACCCGCTCCCTCCTTTCTTCACAAACAGCACGGCATCTGCTACTCCTCCGCCGAGAGGGATTTAGTCTTTGCAGACACAATGGAGAGTCAGTTTCAACTTAACGTTGATTCGAATGATGATATTGACCGTGATATCCGGCTGGAACCCCGGGTTCGGCGCATCCTCAGGGAAAATGATGACGACGTGATCCGTTCAGCTTTAGAGGAAGAACTGAGGGGTACATTGAGGCCTCCAAACCCCAGAAGGCTCCGAGAATTGATTCAATCAACAACATGTTGTTGAAGCAGCTCCGGGAGAGCTTCTTCAGATATCTGCTGGACAATCAACAGCTCAATCACACTCAGATACTTCCCTCGAAGACGGAAGCATGCCGTAGTTGTTATGATTCCGAAACAGGGCCAGAACCCGCTGTTTTCCCAGAACCATCGTCCGATTAGTCTGCTTTGCTCAACGGCTAAGTTGGCTGAACGTGTTGTGCTGCAAAGGTCAACAAAAGAAGTTGGAGACCGACATGTTACACCCGATGAACAATTCGACTTCAGGAGGGCACACTCCGCTGAGCTGCAGGCCCTGAGATTGGTCGAAAATTTGATCTCAGAGCTGAACAACAGGAATAGAGTGCATCTCGTCCTCCTGGGTATTTCGAAAGCCTTTGACCAAGTCTGGCACAACGGCCTTCTAGACAAAATGCTCGATTTCGATCTGCCTCGGGGCCTGGTCTTGTGGATTAGGTCCTTTCTGAAAGACAGAACATTTCAGGTCCGAGTTGAAAGGTACCCTGTCTTCTGTCAGGAAAACCCAAGCTGGAGTACCTCAGAGAGCTGTACTGTCTCCACTACTGTACAGCCTTTACGTAGGCGACCTTCCGAGGTTCGACCACGTGAAGGTTTCCATTTACGCCGATGACACGGCTCTCTTCCATGAGTCGAGCATTGGCGGTCGTCTACATGCAACGCGCATTGGACGACTTCGAACGCTGGTACCTTGACTGAAAGATCCGGGTGAACCCAAAAAAAACTCAGGATTTGGGGAGACGTAACGTTCCTCCAGACACAAGTGTCACGATCTCAGGCAGGGATATCGAATGGCAAACGCAAGTTAAATACCTAGGTCTTTAGATCGCCGACTCACCTAGGCAGATCACATTGACTACATCAAGAGCAGAGTAAAGATGAGGATAGCTAAACTCTATCCTCTGGTTAACAAAAACCCGAAGCTCAACCTCAATAATAAGGTTTTACTATACAACACGACGTTCAAGCCTCTCATCATGTATGCTTCAGGCGCCTGGGGACCAACCGCTCCGTCAAATCTCTCCATTTTGAAGAGATTGCAAAACAAACTTCTCAGGATGCTGGTGAATGCTCCATGGTCTCAGCCATCCGCAGTGATTTGAAGCTGTTAACTATACGGCAGTTCATTCAGTCGAGGAATCAGAGAGTTTTCGAATCAGCGAAAACTCATAATAACCCATTAGTCAGGGAAGCTGTAGATTATGCTATAGACGACCCCACTCGATTCAGAAGGCCGCATCGCTCAGTTGAGTGGAGGGCTCACGATGTCTGTTAGAACGAACAGTTTGTTCATCAAATACCCCAGTCAGGAAGGGGTATACTGAGCCAGAGCGGCATAGAGCTTTAGGTCATTGATCATTATGTCGCCACCAAAAACCCCCTCAGTTATGAATCATTCGTCCTCCTGACGAACCTCAGTTGAAAGGGTGAGGGAACAGTTTCCAACCTGATGTAAATGAAGGTGACACGAACTTGTCACTGCTTGTTGCTGGTTTTTTTTTTTGCCGAAAACAACACCGTAATCCTGTCCCTGCCATCGTATCCACCAGATTTGGCCTCTTGCGACTTTTCTCTGTTCATAAGGTTGAAGATACCCATGAGAAGACAGTGTTTTGCGACCATTAAGGAGATAAAAACCAAATCGCTGAAAGAGCTCAAGGACAACCCAAAAAATGCATATCAGATCTGTTTCGAGGATTGGAAAAAACGCTGTCACAATTGTATCACAGCTCAAGGGGGCTATTTTGAAGAAGACAGATCTCGTACTGTCATCGTGACATGAGTACATTGAACTCATACGTGACATAAAGTCGTGATGTTATGAACGAATTGGGTGCTTCATTTTGTGATATTATCCAGATTGGTGCTATAGAGTCAAGATGATTCGTAGCTTGGAGGTTTCGCCATTGAGGTTTCACGAAATTGAAACTTTTATCTCTTCCAGATACTTCATTTTGTAACGTTTCTGAAAGTAGTTGTTTCGAGAGGGTTTTTTATTCCAGTTTGTATCTGAAAGTAACTCATATGCATAATCTACACATTTTTGTATATAGTTCACTTAGAATCCAATTGCTTTTTTCTTTCTTTGAAATATTTCCACTTTTTTTATGAAGATGGAAAAGTAGAAAGAAAAATAGTTCCTTCTCCATATTGGGTCCTTATGAGGGATCACAGCTATTGTTCTGTTCTACTTCAACTTAGAAGTCAATTTAAATTTTCTATACCATCCATTTCGAAAATAATATTGGACTGAACATCAGTCAGAAAAGTGTGTTAAGATTGTCTAACTTAAAAGTATCTTGTAAGCAAAGAGGCCTAATTGTTGATTCAGGTACATGAGATTACAAGCCTCTATAATAAAAATGTATTTTCTCACAACAACAAATTTTCAGGTACTCTTGTCGGAGATCTACAAGAATGCAAAGCAATTTCAAAAATGTTAACGACTGTAAATGAAAACCCCATTCTGATTGGTTCTGTCAAGACCAATATGGGTCATTCTGAAACAGCATCTGGATTATCATCCCTGACGAAAGTGATTCTGGCCATGGAGCGGAGAATTATACCAGCTAACTTATACACAGAACCTCTGGATACCACACTACCTGGATTTTCGGAAAACAAACTCAAAGTAACTGAACTATAATTTTTCTCTCTCACACTTTTTTTGTTTCCAATTGTTTTACAGAAAACCTGTTTCATTCATACTTCTCAGTCTCATCAAATTTGCTATCACAGCAATCGAATATAACTGTTGGGGTAGGTCAAAAATGAGTGGGCCTATTCGCCGGTTCACCGCAACCCGCAAGAGTTTATTATGGCTCACACCTATTCAAACTCGACCAAACGAACCCAGCTTCTCAACGAAGCCGATTAGTTTGTATAAGGAATGGTCTTTCAGGTCAGATGGTGAGAACTCTATAAACCTGATTCGATCCCCAGCGGGGCAGTCACGAAGTACGTGCTCTGCTGTTTCATCATTTTCCAAACAGAGGCGACACACATACTGCCTTCCAACAGTCCGACAGTGACCTTTAAGGAGGCCTGTTAGACGTCGTAGTACTGTAACCAAACAACTGTTTGATTTCAAGCTTCGAAGGGTGAATGAACGCTTTGAAGTGGGTCAATCCTGGAAAATTTTCCAAGAAATCTTTAGATCTTTTTGTCATTCAGATGTTCAATGTTTGCTTGGCAAAACCTAAAGCAATGCAAGTGATCATTGGTTTGACAATCATCTCATGTATCCAATGGATTTGCTTGGGACTTAAACCCCAAGTTCCTTCGACATGTCCATAGAAACAGTCTAGATTTGTGTAGAACTTTTTCTAAATGAGTGTTCCAGATGAGTTTTTTTATCAAGGACAATATCAAGATATTTCACCTCCGTTCCAAATGGAATGACCTCACCATTGATGGAAAATGACGTTACATCGTCCAACTTTCTCCTCCTGGTGAAGGGCTTGACGGACATCTGCTCCCTCTGGCACCAACTGTGAACCACTTTCATTGTACTTTGGAAGATATTACACGCTTCCCTTACCGACGTGGACCTTGCCAAGATGACAACGTCATCTGCATTTCTTCTAACGAAGACATCAAGCAGACTTTCCATCAGGAGCGATCACAGAAGGGGAAATAATACTCTACCTTGAGGGCAGCCCCTGGTGATCCTGAACCTAATGGTCTCGTCTTGAAGAGTCGTAGTTGCGGTTCTGTTAACCAGTATGGCATAGATCCATCTGGTTATGGTCGATACTATGCCTTCCATAGCCAAGGCTGATCCAATAGATTTAGGTAGTGCATTGTCAAATGCTCCTTCAACGTTGTTGAGTACTAAGTATTCTTTAAACAATCATGTCCATGATGCAAGTGATGAATTCAACGCTGAGTAGAACAGTTGTCCTGAGTTATTATCACATAAGCTTTCAATCATCAGATCATCAGAAACCGATCAGCTCTTGAAGTTATAGAAAAGATCTATCAAAACAATAGTTTCCAAAAGCAGAGAACTAGACATAGTGACAGTACCAAAGCGTGTTGAACGACGCAAGATTTTTCTGGTCTCCGAAATCGGATATGTTTTCTTTGAAATGAGTTTCAGTGGCTCGTTTAGTATGAACGATCGGTACACGACACCAGATTTTTGGATGCTTTCTGGAAATAGTAAAGTGTGACATGAGAACTATTAACAGTGATGGAAGTCTCATTCTAAACAGCTCATTGTTCACTTCTTTATAAATCACTCTGTTAAAATTCGCGGAAACTTGCGCGAGAAAATTTCATGCGAATTTCCACACGAAATCATTGATATGCGTCCGCTGTGGCCGCTGTGGCCATTTTCAGAGTAAGGAAATAATTTTCTTCATCTCCTGATGACGCCAACTTGTTTGTTGAAATGCGCCTCCAGAAGACTATTGCATCTCTGGTGACTGGAAAATGTGCTTGTTATGGATTTATTCTACGCCGGAGATTCCAGTTCTACCTTGAATTCAGTGGAAAGAAGGTTAAAATAACAGTTTGTTATTTCATTCTTATGTTGATGGATGAGGTTGATCGGTAAATGAAGTTGGANTCTACCTTGAGGGCAGCCCCTGGTGATCCTGAACCTAATGGTCTCGTCTTGAAGAGTCGTAGTTGCGGTTCTGTTAACCAGTATGGCATAGATCCATCTGGTTATGGTCGATACTATGCCTTCCATAGCCAAGGCTGCTCCTATAGATTTGAGAGGTGAAAATTTCGAGATTTTATATCGAAATACTTATTTTCTGAATTATAACTTTTCTTCAGTTTCCCGCATTGAATCTCCGATATTATATACAATATATTGTAAAAATACGGCTATGCCGTATCATTTCGTTATTTCAATTTGGCAGCTGCTGTCACCAGACGTGGATGTTGAGGCAATTCCGAAAGAAGCTTGGACTTGGCCGCCTATACGATAAGGAGGTCTTTAGTTGCAGGTGAAAATGATCTTAAGAATTTACAGACACTTCTTCCCAAGAGGTTACTATTCAAGGTTCTGAAATGAAATCCAGCTCTCAATCTAACACTACTATATTCAACAATAGAAAAATGACATCCCTACCGTATATGGGAGTGACTGTAATACGTAGCTTGGCCGATACTTTCGGACCACTACCTGACTATGACTCGATTATTAGATCCTCTCTGCATACTGTTTTTATGACTAACTCCTTCCCAAAATTCATATAACGGTTGTTACACATGTACTGTTAGGCTAATTGCACACACACCGATTTTGGACGGACGATATTATACCGGTCGTCCCAATTCCAATAGTGAACAACACGTGGGAAAGGGACCTGGCACACACGCCGACCGGTGATCGTCGCCGGTAAAATACCGGTGAGCAGACGTCCACTGCCACTGTATCGCCGGCAGTACCGGGAAGTAGTGGCGTACATTCCAGTCTCGAATGCTTGGTGAAATTGTAGTTACTACGCATTAACTTCGTTTTGGTAGTGCGTGGTAATTACGACAACAAAGCCACTGATTGTTCGACGGATAAAAATCCGGTGAGTGTGCAAGCACCCGCTACCAATAAAATATCGGCCGATCAGATTGTACACCCAACTGGATAAAGGCAGGAAACGTAAAACACACCAACTGGAAACATTGACATTTTTATGCCGGTGCGAGGGACGCCAACATTACACCAGCTTTCTTGAAACTAAAACGGTCATTCAAATCAGCTCAAGGAAATCGAATTTATTCGAGAAGTGAAAAAACTTTCCTACGAGAAAGTATCCATCATTCACGGAGCCAGCTAGCGGAGAGAGGCAATGCCTTGTTGAAACTACAACTTGAACTTGGCCACTGGATGAAACCCGAAGACTGGGACAAACTTGATGGCATATCTTACTCAAAAGTGGAAAATGAACGGGACAGAGTGAGCAAAAACCACGAAGTGAAGTTCGAAACACTACATGAGGCTATATATACAGCGGCCCCTCGTTTAAACTTGTCCAGAGTGGTTCTCACGTCAGTGAGAGGCGGTAACTTCGTGATCATGCCACGACGGGTTCCAAACGAGGGAATTATCGCTGGTACAGAAGCGACAATCAGGAATCTACCGGATGTAGAAGCGGAAGAAATCAGGATTGTGACAGCAAGGCACGACCTCCTAAATGCAATATCCCTAAAAGAGAGATTGCAGCCTTAAAGAGCTTGAACTCTGATGAGAGCATCACGATACTTCCAGCAGGCAAAGGAAATGCCACGGTGATTCTGAAAACGGAAGAATATAACAACAGAGTCATCGGACAACAAGCCATGATGGTTAAACCTCTGAAGAAGCTAGCCACTCGCGCGAAACGTTAGAAAGAAATTCCAAAAATCCACGGCTTTCAAACTCGACAAAAAATGACACAGATAATTGTTGCTTTACAGATGGATCAAAAACACCTTGCAGGCTCTGGTGCAGGTGTTTTCAGTTGCAGACCCAGTACAGAGATATTAACCTGTCTAGGGACCTGTGCGACTATATTTCAAGCGGAAATATATGCTATTGAATTGTGTGAGGAGAGATTTGCAGAATCCAACCTCATACACAAGTCAATAAAAATTTCCTCGGACAGTCGAGTGGCGTTGGAAACTCTTGGCTCCTACCAAGCAACGTCTAATTTGGTGGCAAAATGCCAAAAACGAATCTCCTCAATAGGAAGACTTAACAAATTGTCTCTGGTCTGGATTCCTGGCCACACTGGCCTGGAAGGCAATGAGGCTGCTGACTTCCTTGCAAAAGAGAGTGCTGCAAGCAGCTTTTTTGGAACAGGACCTGACATCAGCATCTCTTCAGGTTTTGCCAAACAAACATTGTACACCTGGATGTCAAGAAGATTCAAGGACTTCTAGCAAAATTTTCCAGGATTGGCTCTGTCTAAGGCGTTTATTATTGGACGACAGAATGGATGAACTATGATGTCGTACACTCTTACCATCTGACCTGAAAGATCACTCACCATATAAACTAATTGGCTCCGTTAATAAGCTGGGCTCATTTATTCCAATTTTAATAGGTGTGAGCTACAATGAACGCATGCGTGTTGCGGTGGAGGGTCAAAGAGACCCACTCACTTTTGATCTAACCTAACCTAACCTTTCTTTGGAGCACTTGACTCTCTTTCCTGACAAAATTAAGCTCCCCGCGACCACTGTTTTCAACAAACTTTAAAGAAATCGTGGTAACTCTAACATAATTTTTTGTACTCACGATTAATTAGCTTATGGCCCTCCTTAGTTAAGATGGTCACTATTTTTTTTTCCTTTATCAGCAATCGGGCCAACACACGACGTGGTTCAATGGAGAAACCATATTTCGCCTAGCTTTGAGGCCTATAAATACATGGTCTGAAATCTGATATATTTTCAATCGGTCTATTGACTGACCACGGGTGGTTTTTGTAAACATTTCTCGACTGGTCGATCGATAACCGATAATTTCTGCTTCGACGCCTAGCCTTTGCTAGGTATTACAATATTCAGGTTGTTATTTTGCACTCTCAATAAACAATTTACTATTTCAGAAGTATCATTACACAAGCAATGGCTATTTATTTATTATTATATAGGTTGTAACGGAAAATTTACCTTGGAATGGTGGTATTGTTGGAGTGAATTCTTTTGGGTTTNGCGAATTAACCTTGATAGGAGTCTGATGACCATACACATATCTCGACTTGTTTTGAAGAGATTTCAGTTCTGTACTGGCAATGCATTATCTCATTGAAAGTGTGTGAGGAATAGTTCCAAGGACCGAAACAGCATTACCACGTTGGATAACAATACTAATTCTTCCTGTCAAAAAAGAGGTAGAACGTTAATTTTTCGTTGCTTGGTCTAATCTCTATCCGAATTCATGAACGAATAATAGAAACTATGGGCCATAAACACCAAAAGTTTCAACCGCTACTGGATGGAACATATAGTTGTTACCAAGATTTTGGCCTACGCATGGCGACCCGTCGCCACGGTATGCGTCGCCATACCAGCAATCGGTTTTACGTGCGGTTACAGATATTTCACATCAATAATTCTTTCATGGGAATAATTTTTTCACTGATATTTTCTGATTGACTGAAAAACAGAAATTGGTCTATGATCGTTCACAAAATTCATCTTGACATTTTCAAATAGCTGTGGTAATGATATGGAAACGTTTTTAAATAAAAGGAACTAGCAGTGATTATGCATTTTCAACCATTCATAAACCAGATGAGGTTAGAGGCCGCTTTATTTATTTGAGAACCAAAATATTTAGGAAAGAAAGATTTCGGCTTTTTACTTCTCCATCTCTATACAAAAATGTGGAAATCCTTCAAATAAAGAAAGAAAACAATCAATCTCAGCATCAACTCTCTGAAAATATGTGTAGATCATGCAAAGAAGTAACTTTCAGACACAAACTGAAAGAAAAAGGCCTTTCGAAAGAACTACTTTCATATAAATGCTTTCGAAACAACTAGGTACTTCTATATGAATTATCCAAAATACACTTTTTCCCTTTCAGTTTGTACTCCAAACATTCTTAATGGAATTGAATAAGATTTCATTCACGGGATTGCTACACATTATATCGTTGTTTTACATTTTAGTATTTACATAATTAGGTTAGTCCCTAGCACAGATTCAATCAATCAATCAATCAATTCATTTGTTTATCAATATAACAGATTTAGCATCGTCAAGGTAGATAAATATAACACAAAACATACACATTGTTACATACAGAATACATACACATTAAAAAGGCAAATCATTGAAAAATTCACTTACGTCATAAGGGCAGAGATCAACCAGCAGCTCTTTTTTAAACTTTTTTTGAATTTAATCATATATAATTTCCTCATATATGGTGGTAGATGATTGCTTTATCGCCATAGTTTAATAGAGAGTAATTGTCAGTCGATGTTGTGACATAAGAAAATTGTGGCCATTTCTGTTCAAACATCCATGGTTGCGATTAACTTGAGGGGTGTTATTTTGTGTCTTGATATAGACAAGACATTGAAATATGTAAAGAGCCGTAATGGTTAATATATTAAATTATTTGAATAGAGGTCCACAGTTGTCTCGAGTTTTTGCATACAAGGGTTGATCGAAAGTCACCAAACATACAGTGTGACCGTTTTGCATTCTCTAATGCACAAAGTAAAGTCGTGTATACGGTTTTATAATTACTAGCTGTTTGAAATTTGAGATTTAGGATAATTCACATGACTGATCGTTAAACGTTCAATGAAACCATTCCAACCGTGTAAGGACGCATTTTTCCATTTTCCATAAAACCATACTACATCTGCTTTTTCGAGGAATGACACCGTTTCAGTTTCATATGCAAAATATTCAACATTTATTGTACTGTAACCTACTACACCATCATTTTGATAGATTTGTATGGGGACATGAGCTTTTGCCTTGAAATCTTTTGCTGAAAGCGCTTCTTTTATTTGTGGCAACGGTTCTTCCAGTAAAACGGATTTTTTTGGGGTAACAATTTGAATAATACCCATTATGTGAAGCGTGTTATTACCGTCTAACTACATTGATATCAGCATTGTCTGCAATGTATTGAATAAGTGTGCCACTTTCTGGCGGTAAAACATAAGAAAGACGATGAAAAACTGCTGCGGTTTCGTTCATTATTGTATCATTATAAGATGAACACAAACCAAAAGACGAAAAAATTTGTATGAGGCGTTTAGAGCCGAATCGTCGATGAAAAAAAAAACTGCGAGGCCTAATTGTAATTTAGACTTAAAAGACCTTGGTCGAACCGCTGTCATGTTGGCTCAAGGTTAAACTAGCTAACAAATTAAGGGACTGAATTTCATTCTACCTGATATTCTTATATTTATACTTATGTATACCAATTGAATTATTGTTTCAGTTTTTTTGACATTCAAGCATAACTTATTGGCTGCGAAAAAAATTTCAATTTTTTTTTAACGCGTTGTCAGTTAGTTGCTTTGGATATTCATGTTCAGGGTGACTTTCATAAATAGTAGTGTCATCGGCATACTGAATTGTATTGAGGTGTTACCCACGGGTTCGTGTTAATATTTTCCGGAAGTAAGCACTATTTTATAGTATTGTAGGTAACCACTACTACAGCTTCCCGTGTGTACCGGTTAGCAATTAGTTACTTTCGAATCATATTCTTAATCAGATGATTCAAAATCAAAATTGCATTCCATTCTTCTTACAGCTACATCATTTTGGGAGATGAAACTGTAAACGAAATTAGCAAAATCGAATCTTCAAAGAAACAAATTTGGTTCATCTATTCTGGATTGGGATCGCAATGGACAAAAATCGGAAAAGATTTAATGAAACTAGGTCACTGCAGAGAAACATTTGCCCGTTGTGTAGATGCTTTGAAGCCTTTTGGCATCGACCTGGAAGCTATTGTTTTAGCCAAAGCCAACATTTCAGAAAATATTCTTTATGACATATTAGCCATCACTGCGATACAAATTTCATTGACAACATTTTTATTCAAATTGGGAATTATCCCCGATGGAATAGCTGGAGTTTCGTTTGGAGAAATTGGTAAGTTTTATTGAAAGCTGGTTCATGTGCCAACCCTGAAAACTTTCTTTAATAACTTAAGAAACTTTTGAATTTCTATCAGTTCTAATCCTCTATTCTAAATTTTCAGGCTGTGGTTACGCTGATGGTACTTTGACTCCAGAACAAGCAATTTTACTGGCATATGCAAGAGGAAAGGCAAGTTCAGACTCGAAAATGTCAAATGTAGAAGGAGAGGTGTCTCATCAGGCACTTCAGTCTATGAAATCATTCTTCAAGGAAATACTTCCGAATCCGAAACCGAAATCTGAGAAATGGATTTCTACATCGGTAGCTGCGGCAAAGAATGACGAAGCCTGGACTAAGTACAACAGTGCCGAATATCATTATAATAATTACATGAGTCCGATCTTGTTGGACCAGGTGTTTGAACACATTCCAGAAAATGCTCTCGTTGTGGAAATTGCACCCCATGGCGTACTGCAGGAAATTTTGAGGAGGGAGCTTGGGCCAGAGAGGATTGTTACGAGTTTGATTGATGAATCGTACACAGATATCGAACGAAATTTGTTGATATCCATTGGAAGGTAAGCCTAATATGTGACTAGATATTTTCATTTCTCCACTGTGTTTTCAAATTCATTTGTAACTCTTTTCATTTTTGAAAATGCAAATTCGATAAATCAAATTCGAAATTATTGAAAGTTATCACTTGTTGTCGATAGGCTGCTCAAATTGATTCAAATTGATTGATCAAAAGTTATTTCAAATCAATGAATTATTAATTTATATTAATATTACTGGAGATTTTTCCCAAGACCAAAAATTTTTTTTTACATTTTGGCACGTGTTTCGGTCACCAAGTGATCATCTTCAAGAGAAAGATCAAACTACAAAATT